CGAGTGGTTACCGTGTCAAGATCCTATGTTGCACCGTTACGGCCCAACTTCCGCTAGCCGAGATCAAAACTGTAGTCCACCCTGAAAGAGAACAACTTTTGGGAAGCAAGGCTATGTGAAATTCAATGAAAACATCAGCTCTACTCATATCATTGTTAGAAAATTCTACTACCAGTCCTTCATCACCTTAAACGAAACAGGGTGAATACATCTCATATAATGATTATAATTTGATGGCAACTGATTGACTGCTCATTTTCAATGTCATAGGATAAATGTGAATTCGCCAACAATCGTACTTTAATGAATAAATAAGATGGGTTAAGCGGACTGAATAAATAATGATAATCAATGAAATTTATCTACGAAATCTCTGTAACAGATATTCTGATTAATCCAGAAGCACAAATTTCCTGGCAAAAAACCATAAATCAAGGTAAGGCTAGGTAAAGCATAAAAAATAAGCAAATAAATCATTAGGATATATCAGTGTTAAAAAAGATAGAGCGACTTAGACTACCTGGAGCAGCAAGACGGGCTTTGGCAAAACTTTTCATGGAGTTCAACAAGGAACTCGAAGTTGGGTCAGGAAGTGCAAAATTAAACTCCTTGTGGTCGCTTGTAAGCCCATCAATATAAGAATTAGGCCCAGCCGAAGCTCTTTCTTGCAGGCAGTTGCGATCACTACCTTGGACAACAGACCGAAGTTTATTGTTTTTCCATTCATTGCGTGGTTGAGAGCTCAAAGACCAAAGCTCAGGGGTCTGACGGTCAGAGATGCCGTACTTACAAGCCTGACAAGTGGTCGTGAGATTCCGTGGTGAACAGACTGTCGTGAGGCAGTTTGATGATGCCGGTACAAAACGGCTATCAAAAGAGTCAGTCGCTGTCCATTGTGGACGCAGTGAGTGAGGCGAGAAAGACATGGAGAAGGCATTAGCAAGATTTGCTGTGAGGTGGTAATGAATAAAAAAACGCTTATATATGCAAATAATCAGTAGACGGAAATATGGAGATGCATAGAGGAAAGCTCTCAACTAGACAGAGAAGATGCAAAATTAGGATCTTCAAGGTTACAGTTCCGTCTCATGAGGCTAAATTTCTAATGTGCAAGGAAAAGTTGGGTTTCGAGGAATCTCTTGTTTCATTACTGTTAAGCATACTTCCATTTCGAGTAAAAGTGGTTGGTGAATAGATTCGAAAGTTGATTCCACCAAAAGACGCGGAGGATTTCTCTTGATCAGCTATCGATTGACTCTACTAGAACATTCTTGTTAATGTTGTTTCCGAGGTAATCTCCCTCGATTCTTCATATGACGAACACCATCAAAGCAGGATATCATCCTTACAACCAAATTCATGCACTAATGAGTCAAGAAGACTCACCGGCTCATCCCTAAAAAGCTTGCATATATACTCTATATCTAACATTTTTGATGAGGTATAAAGTGATTTGTTTATTTAACAGTCATATGACAACCTCGAATCAAGTGAGCGTGCATGTCCCTGCATTTGTATATATCTGTATGTGTTCACATATGTACCAAGCCAGCAGATTGCTCAAAGTAATTAGGACAGCAAAAGTACAACAGCAAAAGTCTGCTTTCGACCATCAAGGTTCGATGATTACCATCTCTCTCTCTCTCTCTATATATATATATATATATATAACTACTTTAAGTAGTTGTTAAAAATTATCTTATGCTAGCTTGATGTTCTGGACGGGTATAGTAAAATGATTAGCTCATAAATAGATCGCCTATCAGCATTCCAAGTTCTCTAATAAAAAAATAAAACACAGCTTGATAGCATTATACTGTAATGCAAACAATTAATGTACGCCTTCGATTCATTTCTAACTAAAATGGATTGTGCCTCCACTGACGATAAAGATGGAAAATATTAAGCCAAGCACATTAAAATCGAAGTGCATAGTTAAAAGATTTGTTATGCAATTGTATAAAAAATGAGGATGAATTTAAGAAAATAGTTAGTTTTGCCATTCGATTTGAATGTGATGTACTCATCAAAAAAAATTAAGAATTCATCTAAGTCTACAATTTGTGAACTGAATTTCATTTAGTATGAAAGGCGAATGGAAGGTCGATCTTATAAGAGGAAGGTGGATTCTCCCAGATATACTGTATTAATTTCTAAAATGTTTAAGCTCGAGACACCCTCCTCTAGTTAACGTGAAAGCATGATAAACATATGTCTATTATGACAGGAATCCTCAAAACTGAGGCACATGGTCATATAGACGTGACCCGTAAGCTTTCAGTCGCTATAAGTCCAGCTCCCAATTCTTTCACATTAAAAACGATAGTACACACGTTTTCATCAGAACCGATGAAGAATGCCTCATAGATTGGGTCAGTTTAAATGACCAATTTGACTCAAGCCACTGAGAACGGAAAAACCGGAAATAATTTTTTGGTGTGATTGAACAATGAATCATGCAGCAATACACTTCCACGTTAAATTAAAGTCATCCTATCGATTTTGGTTCAGAAATAAACAAATTACTAGTTAGACAGCATGCACGTGAATGCGTATAGTCTAAAGGTGAGACAAATCAAGAAAAGGCAAGCCAATTTCAAATCACCTTTATAATAAAGGCCTGCAAAATGACATATGCACGGTCCGAACCAAGTCAAGGATACTGATGATAAGTGTGCGAGGAAAAAATACAGTACAATCTCTTTTGAGGCACAAGGCATTATTAAATAAGGTTTGTTGAGCTTACTTCCATTTCGAGTAGAAGAGATTCGAAGGTCGGTTCCACCAGAAGACGACGGCGAATTCTCCTTGACCAGCTGTCGATTGGCTTTACTGGAAGATTCATGCTGACGCTGTTTCCGAGGCAATCTCCTTCAA